TATATATATATATATATATATATAGCAAAATAATCGAAGATTAAACCATCCACATTGCATCAACATTAACCTGGCCATGAAGATACTGCAACAAATAGATCATTGTTATGATGAAAAAAAACATCTAAAAGAATCTCAACTATGTTTGAGACAAGGGCTGTCAAAAAAGCTCGTTGTTCGCGAACAGTTCGTGTTTGGTTCGTCAATGAGTTCGTGTTCGATTCGTTCGATAAGTAAACGAGACAAACGCGAACAAATTTTTTTCGTTCGGTTAGTTAAACGAACCAAACACGAACAATGATGCGTTCGTTCGTGTTCGAATCGTTATTGTTTGAAATATAAAATAATATAAAATAATTATATATAAAAAATTTATTATATTTTAAAACATTAAATTTTATAAATTATAATATATAATAAAATAATAATAATAATATATTAATATACTATCAGCTCGTGTTCGGCTCGTTCGTTAAGAAACGAACACGAGCTTATTTCAAACAAACTAAATTTTAAACGAACCGAACACGAACACAAGCTTTGTTCGTTCGTGTTCGGTTCGTTTACACCCCTATTTGAGACAACGAGAATTTACATAATTCATATCTTATTTTTTCTCTAAATAATGGCGTAACATCATGTAATCCTAATTTATCTCTCCACTCACCTCTATCTTTTTCTACAAGTATTTCCATATATTTACACATGAATACACCACAATCAAAGCTATTGTTTTGCTCCAAAATGTCTTTGGTCATTACAGCTGGCTATTTTTTTCATATCAGTGTTGAATGCTCACCCGACATTCTTCACAGAATGTTTAATCTGTATATTTAAATGTAGAATTAAATTAATGACAATATAGAGCATTGCATAAAACAATGTTTCATTAGGAAATGATATGATGAATGGTCTTACAACGTCGTGGGTGATCTCAAAATGCATTTTGTTGGGTGAGGAGTAGGGCTGTCAATTTGGCTCGTTGTTCGCGAACAACTCGTGTTCGGCTCGTTCGTTAAGCTTAATGAGCCGAACATAAACAAATTTGTAAGCTCGAAATATAAACGAGCCGAACACGAACAAACATTTGTTCGCTCGTGTTCGGCTCGAATTGGCTCGAAAAGAAAAAAATAAATAAATATACACATATATAATACATATTCATAAAACTACATATTATAAATTGTAATTAAATAAAATTTTTCAAATAAAAAAAAATTATCAAATTTTAAAAAATTAAATCCTATTAATTGTAATATATAACAAATATTTAATAAATATTACTTATATAAATATTATATAATTATGTAATATAAGTTATATATTTAATATAATATAATATATAAATATAAAATTAAAAAAACCCTACCTCGTTACTTCTAAGCCACGATAGCAAATCTCGGGTTCGGCTGCCTCACCTCTTCTGACTCTTCTCCTTCCTTTCAATCGCGAAAGGTGTTCGACCGCGAAAGCTTAGGGTTTAGGGTTTGTGTTCACTACTCTCCTCCTCTTCCGAGTCATCTCCTTCTCTCAAAATCGCGAAAGGGTTTCGGCGGTGAGAGCTTAGGGTTTGTTCTTCCTCTTCCTTTTTCGAGACATTTTCCTCTCCTGATTCCTCCATTTTGGAGCCGAACTCGAGTCGAAAAATATTATTCTAGTCGAACACAAATACACTCTTCCCGAGCGATTTCGAACACGAGCCGAACACAAGCCGACCCTGAGCTCGCTCAGGCTCGGCTCGTTTACAGCCTCACTTCATACAGTCTCCATTTGCGCTCCTTTAATTCCCTAGCTAGGAGTGTCCAATGTTAATTATTAATTATTGGTATTAAAAGTAACTCTATATTTTTAATAGTTTACTTTCTAATGTGATCAACAAACATTGTCAATTTTTTATCTCTGTACATCTGCATAAAAAAAATAATATCATACATAAGCTATTATCATGCTGAATGTGTTTAAGTGTACTCTAAATCACATGAAGTTTAATATTTACCCAATGAAGTGGAGACACTCATATGTAAGAACTATACAATTGGGGTGATTTGCACCTCTTATATTTCATTAACATAGCAAAACAATATTCATGCTCATTTCCTAACTAATTATTAGTCAATAAATCTTCAGGATAACTTCGACTCATTGAAACATATCTCATACTAATTATAAGATCACCTCTGTATTTGAAATATATAATTATTGTGATATATGTATATGAAATTAATGCATAGCACAAAATAAAGATAGTGTACTAACATGTCAGTGAATTTGTTACAACATAGATCGATTGTTTCCTACATGTAATATGAAATTTGTTCTCTAGCAAAAAAATCGATTACCTGTGATGTTGGACGAACCTATAAAACCAAGAACTCTTAATATATAATGTTAATATTTGAGTTTGGAGAATAAATAAGAGAAGATTACATTTTATACCTTATTAGGATAGTCATCGACAATTTGTGGGCCTAAATCATGTTGCTCTTTCTATTGATTTACATCTTCAACCTCCTCCATTATTGTAATGAATTGTTCATCTTTTTTATTAGATGATATTTGCTGAATTTGCTCTGTTTGCTCAACTTGTACATTTGGTTGGTTAGAAATAATGTCTGATATTATAGGTTGTTGTGAAACATGTTTTTCCTCTTTATTTACATCTCCAAGCACATCCATTATTGTAATGAAGTGTTCCTCTACTTTATCAGATTGTTCCCTAAGCTGGTAAACAAAACCATTTCAGTGGTTGATATAACTTAATAAGTTTGCAAATGCAAATGTAAATATGTCAAGGAGTGAAACGGAAATCTGCTGAACCGGTCGTTCAACGGTCCAGCCCGTCATAGCCGGTTCAGCTCACTACAGGTCATTGAGGGCTAATGAGTAAATGCTGAAATCCAAAAACTTACAGATCAAGAGAGGGGAGGTTTATAGATCTGAAGCAGCGCAGGGCGCTCGTCGCCGGCGATGGCTTCCCCGCGAATCCTCCCTTCTTCTCCTCTCCAGAGGCTCGCCACAATGAAGGAAGCAAACCCTAATACGTCCAATTCAGGCTCTTCTTCCGCCACCGCATCGTCCATCCTAGAGACCTTTGCCTCAGACCCCATCTTCTCCGCCTTCCTCTCTCCCGACTTCGACTCAGCTCGCTTCTCTTCCCAAGCCCTAAGCTCCGGATCCGCCGCTTCTTGCGCTGAAAGCCTACAAGAAGCCATCCGCCTCCTCCAAAAAGATCTCCGCGCTGAAGTCCTCGCACGCCACCCCGCTCTCCTCTCTCAACTCTCCTTCCTCTCCGAAGCGGAGACCTCCCTCTCCTCTGTACGCTCCTCCGTCTCCTCTCTTCAATCCTCACTTCGCCAAGCTCGCCAGGAACTCGCCGAGCCCCTCCATCTCGTCCGCGCCCACACTGTCCAGCTCTCGAATCTACATGCTGCTGCAGATCTCCTTAACTCCTCTTCTCGCCTCTTGCGCCTTTCGAAGAAGCTCCGAGATGTCATGGCCCAACCCGCCGACCGCCTAGATCTCGCCAAGGCCGCTGAGATGCATCGCGACATCGAGCTCCTTTACGAAGAGCGCGGCCTCTCGGGCATCTCCGTCGTTGAGGACGAGATCCGCTGGCTTTTGGAGACCGGAAACCAGCTGCGGTCTCAGGCGATGAAAGCTGTTGAAAGAGGCATGGACGAGCATAACCAGAATGATATATGGTGTGGCCTTCAAGTGTTTTATAATCTGGGGGAATTGAGATCGACTGTAGATCAATTAATTAGCAAATATAAGACGTCAGGGGTGAAAAGCGTTGGTTCTGCGCTGGATATGAAGGCGATCTCAGCGACCGGGGGGTTTTCTGGGCCAGGAGGCGTACACAGGAGCGGCATGCCGCAAATTGGGGGAGGGAAGAAGCCCGGAGAGGCTCTTTGGGAGAGGATGGGTCGATGCATGGATGATTTGCATAAGGTAGTGACGGCAGTGTGGCAATTGCAGACCGTGCTGTCGAAGAAGAGGGTTCCATTCACGCAGGTCTTGTTCTTACATGAAGTTTGGCAGGTTAGTTTAATGTTATTTTTTATGATATTTCTGCAAATTACATTGAAACCGAAAGGCTTATCTGAAATTTCTACTGCTCTTAAGAACCAAAATTATGAACTTTTTTTCAGTCATCCAACTCAGGATGTCATCTCTTTTGATTTATCATTGTGAATCTATCTTCTTTAATGTAGCTAAGATTGTAAACTTCTGCAGGAGGACGATCCTCTTTTGACGGATCGAGTTTGGGACGCAATTATTAAATCTTTTGCGAACCAAATGAAATCAGCTTTTAACACTTCGAGTTTTGTCAAAGAAGTTTTCACCGCTGGGTATCCGAAGCTTTTTACTATGGTTGAGAATCTTCTCGAAAGGATTTCGCGTGACACAGATGTAAAAGGGTTCTTTCCTGCTGTTACACTGGATGGGAAGGATCAAATGGTTGCGGCCATTAACATATTTCAGATGGCCTTTCTGGCTCTTTGCCTTGGCCGCCTTTCAGATTACGTTAATAGTATATTTCCAGTATCGAGCCGGGGTAGTATTCCATCGAAGGAACAGATTTCGAGACTCATACTGAGAATACAAGAGGAGATTGAGGTCGTCAAACTACGTGGGCGCTTGATGCTTCTCGTTCTGCATGAAATTGGCAAAGTTCTAATTTTGGTAGCGGAGAGAGCTGAATACCAGGTGATATTATGAACCCAGACCATTGAATAAGATTTCTTTCTTAAAAACTCGATCTTGCGCAATATCTTTTTAAACACCCTAGGTTTATTGGTACATGAATGATAAGTTTACTTGATATGTCCCGCATTTTTATATTCACCAAGAAGTCTGATAATTCCAAACGTAATTGTGCTGGGAGGGAATTTTACATACATACTACACAATATATTTATATTTACATATCCAACACCTAAAGTTTGATATTTGCAATCATAACACTTTAGTGTCATGAACCTATGCATGAAAATGTGTACTTTACTTTTAAAAAGTTAGTAGTAGTGATATTTTTATGTGTTATTAAATATTAGATTGTTATGTATGTGAACGTGAAAGTTTAAGTTTTAGATACGTAAATACATAAGAATTATATGGTATGTATGTAAATGCCATATGTTAAGAAAGGTAGAGGTTGACCTAGGAAGGCTTGGGCTTATTGTATAAAAAATGATCTAAATTTATTAGAACTAAATGAAAATATGACACTAAATAGGACGCAATGGAGAAAAAAGGATTCATGTAGCCGACCCCACGTAGTGGGATTAAAGCTTTGTTGTTGTTGTTGTTGTTGTGTATGTGAATGCCCTCTTTTTTTAAGCGGTGAAAGCCTATGAGTTGTCTGCTATGAAACTGATAGATGATAATGTCAGATTCATTTCTTCAATGTTTTATTCATTGGAATAGACACAATATTGCCTTTCGTTAAACTTAAATTTTATATAACGTATTGTCTCATTAAAGGGGTGTTTGGAATGACTAAATCTAACCAAATGCTAAAATGCAGAGTTTTGTGGATTTATAAATTTTCTGACTCAGGGTCCAAAATTTTGCCTTCATTTTGGTTAAAGTTGGATTCACTAAATCTATGGTCAGGTGGACTTCAGGAATTTACGATTTGCAGGTTTACTAAACTCTGTTGACGCTAAATCCTACTTGCGAACAACCCCTAAAGAAGGATCATTTTGTATATAAACTCTTAGGATCAATCTTTTGGTAATTTTTTAAAAGAAACATATGTTTGTACCATTTGTCTCGCGCCAAACTGTTCTCAATAGGTAATATTTTTTATGATTTAGAAGAAAGTGAGGGCTTGAATGTATTTTGTTGTAATTGGAATGTTAATGGCTAGCTTTACTGTTTTTCATGACCATTATGTTCTATCGAGCCTTGGAATTTTGAAGGAATATATATCTTCCTTATTGACATTCAGCTTACAAGGTGGCACTATTTTTTCTTAAACATGACTTGTTCTAATCTGGCTTTATTTCTAGTAAATGTATGCCGTTTTTATTTCATTTAAACTATTATTCTCCCTATCTTTTCTTCAGAATAATAGTGCGGTTTGACCAAAATAAAATAAAAAAGGTCCTATGACCACTTGTAGGTAGTTATATCTTATATCTCTATTTCTTCAGACTGATAGTAACATCTTATCCTACTTGCAGAAGCTTTGGTTCTAGAAATAGAAAAAAATATACAACCTGATAAGCATTGCCTGCAGAAGCAACAATAACAAGTGCTAGAGGCTTGAAAGTTCCTCATCTTCAAAATGAAAATTAATTTTTATGCCAAAAATAAGGCTGCACAAGCAGATTAGGTTCTTGTTGTTGGTTAATAATACAATAAAATTTCATGGCTTTGGTAGCCCTTCTTCTTTTTTTAACCAACAAAAAATTCATTGACATTTCATCACTTCATTGTTGAAGAGCTTATATTATAATCATTTACCTTTCATTATGTGTAACAAATGTCCTTACAAAAACATCTTCTAATTATTAATTCCTCAAATCAACTAACTATTTATTAATAGTTTGATGTTCTTTTCAAATATTTATAGATTGCTCTAGTATTCTACACTTATAGTAGTTAGATGGTAATTGTCTCTGGGTTTTTTTTTTATGTAGGCTGAAGTTCTAATAGAGCAGTCACCCAAAATTATTGACATTGTTTGGACTTTTAATCAATTTTTTTAATGGAACGAACTTATTTAATCTCAAAAAATTTATGCACCACATAACCTTTTTCATCATGCATATATCATTGATTTTTAGCATTTTATTGCTTTAGATTCACTAACATTGATTGCGGTGAACCACATAATTCTTATATATTTAAGAGGATCTCGAGGAGGCCTACAATGCACTATATTATTTTCGAAGGAGATTTTCATACATAACACACAATTCGTATGTATTTATTTATCTCACGCCTAAACTTTTATATTTGCATACATAACATTTTGATGCTTTGATCAAATGCATGAAAATGTGTATTTCACTCTTTCAAAATGAGTAAAATTTGTGCATGAAAAGGTGCATACATAGTATTTACTTGACACGGCCATTGCCAGGTCCTAAGCCCCAGATGTGAAAGTGGAGGGTTGCGTTAGGTAGTCGGCAGTCAGCGTAAAATTTGTCGAAAAATCATGACATGAATCATTTTGATGATCGTATAAATGTTAGGGCGTCCTCTAGAAGCGACGAGCTGTACGACTTGAATACAGTGAAAATTGTGTAAGGGTAACTACACGATTGCCTAGGTGTAGTATCGAATAAGCTAGTGTTTCCAAATTACGAACGAATGTTGGTAAAGAAGTTAGTTCATGAAACTATTATTATCATAGGATCTTGGAATATAGGCATTCTCACAGGTAAATTAATGAAATTATTTGATATTATGCTTCATAGATAGATAAATATTTTATATATTCAAGAAACTAAATGGGTTGAAGAAAAGACTAAGGAGATTGATAACTTAGGTTTTAAACTTTGGTATTCAGCTAAGAGTTGCACTAGAAATGGTGTAGGTGTAATTATAATGAAGAGTTTTAAAGGTTATGTTTTAAAAATTAATAGAATTTGAGATAGAATTATAGCCCTTAAGATTATTGTTGTTACTAAGATTTTTAATATTATAAGTGTTTATGCTCCCCAAGTAGGTTTAGAAATAGGTTCTCAGATATAAATTCTAAAGATAAATTCTGTAATGACCTAGAAGACTTAATACAAATGATACCGCTTGAAGAAAGAATTTTTATTGGATGAGATTAAATGGACACGTCAGTAGAGTGGTAGAAGATTTTAGAAATATTCATGGTGGCTACGGTTTTAAAATGATTAATAAAGAAGGTAAAATCATATTTGATTTTACTTTAGTGTATAGTTTTGTTATTGCTACTAATTTATCGAAGAAAATAAATGTGCATATTATTGCTTATAAGAATTATCTAATAAAACGTATTAATTATTTTCTTATGAGGATAAGGGATTGTTGACAATGTAAAGTTTGTAAGGTCATTTCAAGTGAGGAAGTACTTAGCATCGCTTATTAGTTCTAGATTTTAAGATGAAGAGTTGTAAAATAAATAATGTTAGTAATCATTATTGTAGAATTAAATAGGGGCACCTTAAAGATAGATAAAATTATTTTTATGAGTGAACTTCAAGATTTCAAGATTTGAGATGTTCATGAAGAAGGAAATTCTTTGTGGGCTAAAGTAATAAACACTATTAAACAAGTAATAAAAGTTGTACTTGGAGAATTAAAAAAAAAATTTATAAATAGAAATAGTTGGTGGTGGAATAATAATGTGCAAGAAAAGATAAAATATAAGTTCTGTAATAAAAATTAGTTTCAATGTACAAGCTTGGAGAACTAGGAAAATTATAAAATGACCCATAGGGAATCTAAGAGAACAATCTGTGACGCTAAAAATTCTATTTTTAGTGATCTTTATAATATATTAGATACTAATGAGAGTGAAGAATATATGTATAAACTAGTCAAACAAAGAGAAAAGAAAAGTAAAGATTTAACTGAAGTAAAATGTATTAAAAATGAAAATAAAAAAAAAGTTTTTTTAGAAAAAGATATTTAACATAAGTGGGTGAGTTATTTTGATAAATTTTCTAATGAAGTTTCTGAAATATGATTGGTCTTAGAGATTTTAATATCGTTAATAGTAATAAAATGTTTGATTTTTACCATCGCATTAATAAAAAAAAAAGTTGAGGAGGCTTTAAAATAACTAAGGGTGGAAAGTCTATAGGACCCGATCATATCTCAATTGAAGTCTGGAAATAATAGGAGATTTGAGAGTTTCTTGGCTTATTAAACTCTTTAATATTATTTTAAAAACTAAAAGGAGTGGAGGAAGAGTATTTTTGTCTCCATTTTTAAGAATGAAGGAGATGTTCAAGTGTGTTCAAAGTATAGATGAATTAAGCTGATGTGTCATATTTTAAAATTATAGGAGAGAGTAATTGAACATAGGTTAAGACATATTACAAAGATTTCTCATAATCAATTTGGATTTATGTCGGGCAGGTTTATTATGGAAGCTATACATTTATTGAGAGGTTTGATGGAGAAGTTCAAAAAGAATAAGGAAGATCTACATATGATTTTTATTGATTTAGAAAAAGTTTACGAAAAATTTCCAAGAGATATCCTTTGGATAGTTATAGAGAAAATAGGTGTTGATATGACTTATATTTAAGTCATTAAAGATATGTGTGCTACGATTGTTGCTTGTGTTCGAACAGGAGGATTGACCAAATATTTTCCTATTTTAGTTGGATTACATCAGGGATCGACTTTAAGCTCGTATTCTTTTGCTTTAGTTATGGATGCTCTTATTGGACATTCGTAGGAGGATGTATCTTAGTGTATGCACTTCGTTGATGATATCCTTCTCGTGAATAAGACTAGAGAGAAGACTCAGGAAAAACTTGAATTATGGAGGTCTACATTGGAGTCTAAAGTCCTTCATTTAAGTATAACTAAAACTGAATACATGAAATATAATTTTAGTAGTAGTAGCTTTAGTGACACAATTGTAACTATGGGTGATCAAATTATTA